AAAAAAAAAAAAGACTATTAAGTCACTGGAGGAAAATGTTTGTGTTCCCTATGCCCACCCCCATGCTGCTAAGTCTCCAATAGTTTGAAATTTTATAACTTTTAATGTAAATACTATTTTGCATTCTATATTACATAATTTTAACTACATACCAAACATATAGGAGAAACTTCTTCCATGCTATCTTTAATTAGAGTGGTATCATCAGTGAGGGGCATCGTGCTGGCATTTTATTATCTAAGTCCTTAAAAAAATACAACAAGTCAGATACAATACAAAGTAGGGTAATATATTTTAAATCTTCAGAACTAAAAAAAAGAAAGAAAAATCTTCAGGACTTTGTGAGTGGGACATTTTAAATTTTATACTTTTTAGTCTAAGTTAATCATATTTCCACCAAATATTTTCTCTGAAATGTATGCTCAGGACTGAACACTAGTTCAAAAAGTTCTAGATGGACTATTTCTATTTTTCTATTTTACATACTTTGAAAGACTTGCAATTCAACTAAAGAAATATTTACCTACATTACTAATCAGGTAAATGTTTTTAGTTAATGAGGAAAAGGATAATAATAATAATTAACATTTAAATCATTTGCTATGTGCCAATTATACTATTGTATATATTAGAGATGACATTTTATTTAATGTTTTTGTGGGAATTAAACATCTTAAAATAAAACTCTTCTATGGCTTGGAAAAAAATGAAATACAAGGTTTTGTGAAAAACAGGTCAAAGAATGGGTGAGTGACAAAATATAATGAAAAGAAATAACCAAAAGTATATTGTATGATAATGGCTGCAGAAGAGAGTAAAGAATCAGCATACGTATACTTGGTGTTACTGCACAACATAACAGAACAAAATATTAAAAGATATAATAAATTTTGAACTTTGCTAGAATAAATGCCCATAGAAACTCCTTGTGATTCTGAAAAATGAAGAATGATGAAGATATAGTAATATTTGCAAAATAAATAATAGCAAACATTCCATGCTAATTCTGTGCCGGGCACTGCTCTAAGCCCTTTTCATCTTTAATGAACAGAATTTTCACTTTGCCTTTTTGTTCTATTTTATTCATTCCTTTTTAATTCATTAAGTTTTTCTTAATAGCCAAATTGGTAAGCAATACTGAATGAGGAGAAACAAGTTTCTAACTTACACAGTTGATCAAAATTTCTATAGGGAAATTACTCAAAAAACCTTTTGAACAAAAATAATTTATTCAAGGATAATCAAGCAAGTGCTATATATTATATATAGTTACCAAAAAAAACCCCAACAAACAGAAACTGTGGTAGTTATATAATTTCATCTCAACTTGAAGATATATAAAAGTATAGGGGTGGAGTCTAGGCTGTCAATCAGATCACAACCTGATGTTGACTCCCTGTGGGTATGACCTTCTCATAAGGAGGATCCTGGGAACCTCCCCCCTCTCTCACTGCCTTCACCTTCCTGCTGGCTGACCCTCCTTGCTGTGAGCCCTGTGATGCAGCCACCACTGTTGGATCCATACGACTTTGCACCCAGGAGCTGCCGATCTTCCTGCATTTGGTATCATTTCATGAAAAGGGACTTAAGGACAAGTATCAGATTTATGGCGTAATCTGGACTAAGCTGAGATGTTTACTTGGTATGCAATTACTTCTTGATATAAACCTCTCTCTTACGCATACATGAGTGTCACTGGATTTGTTTCTCTAGTCAAACCAAGCTAACACAGCAACCAATGATTTCCTGGTTTAAAGTCAGGAAAGGTGTTAGTCAGGATTGTATCCTCTCTATATACTTTTCAATCCGTATGCAGAGCAAATAAGCAGAGAAGCTGGCTTATATGAAGAAGTATGCAGCATCAGGATTGGAGGAAGGCTTATTAACCTCTGATATACTGATGATGCTTGCTGAAAATGAGGAGGACTTAAGCTGCTTGCAGATGAAGATCAAGGATTGCAGCCTTCAATATGGAGTATAAATCCATGTAAAGAAGACCACAGTCCTCACAATTGCACCAATATGTAACATGGTGATCACTGGAGAAAAGGCTGAAGTTGTCAAGGATTTCTGTTTTGCTTCGATCCACAATCAATGTTCATGAAAGCAGTAGTCAATAAATTAAACAACAAATTGCATTGTGTAAATCTGGTGCACAAGACCTCTTGATAGTCTTGAAAGCAAGATGTGCCTGACCCAAGCCAGGGTATTTTCCATTGTCTCATATGCATGTAAAAGTTGGACATTGAATAAAGAAGACTGAAGACGAATCAGTGCATATGAATTGTGGTGCTGGAGAAGAATATTGAAAGTACTAAAACATTGAATATTGAAACTGCTGAAAGAACAAATGACCCTGTTTTGGAAGAAGTATGGCCAGAGTAGTCCTTAGTGGCAAGAATAGTGAGACTTTGTCTTACATATTTTGGATAGGTTGTCAGGAGAGATCAGTCCCTAGAGAAGGACATCATGCTTGACAAAGTAGAAGGGCAGCGGAAGAGAAAGAGACCCTCAACAAGCTGGATTGGCACAGTGACTGAGACAATGGGTCCACGCACTGGCTCCATTGTGAGGAGGGTGCAGGACCATGCAGTGTTTCATTCTGTTGGGCACAGGGTTTCTATGTGGCAGAGCCAACCCAATGGCAACTAACAACAGCAATAACCAAGGGTAAGCTCAAAACGGAGCAAATTTTGAAAAATTATGAAATTATATAAGACATTTAATAATATAGGAGGTCTTAAACCAATTCTAAAATTACATATTTAATATTCTATTTTACAAAAAAATTCACACATGGTTCACTTAAAATATTCACAGTTCTATCTGGGGGACAGGATTGTGAGTCATTTATATTCTCTTCTATTGCTTTCTGCTTTTTATAAATTACAAAGTGTAAAGAAAAAGGGAGGGAGGAAAGGGAGCAAAAGAGGATAGACAAGAGACAGGAAAAAGCAGGAGAGAAAGAAAGAAAAAGGGAAGGAGAAATGGAAAAAGAAATAAAAACTGGATGAATTGCAAGCCACAGGAGAGTTGTAACGTTTCCTTGAAGGATTAGCCTAGGGGAATGCCTATGATCCCACTACAACTTTTAAGCAGTAGCCATGGAGTTGATTCCTACTCCTGGCAGCCTCATGTATGCTTCAATTTCAGACTAACCAGCAGGGCCTCTCCAGGGCTTCCTTCTGAAGTGACTCTGTGTGAGCTCGAATCGTAAACCTTTGGCTCATCACCCAGGGACCGATTCCTATGATTATATTACATAGTTTTGTCACCCAGAGACTGTACTTTTATGCTACCAGCTGGTGCTCATTGAAAACCTATTGGAAGTTCTAGATATTTTGTTTTGTTTTCTTTTGTTTTTCGAAGGCCAAAGGCTTTCCTTTCCCCCCTGGATTGTTGTGCTTTTTGCAACCTACCAGGCATTGCATATTTATAATAGGTCAGGTTCTGGGCTAGGTCTTAAGAATACAAAGGCAAATAAAGTGATTGGATAAGAAATAAAGAGGAAAGATTTCTAAAACTTAAGTTCTAGGGGGCTTCAAAAAGTTCCTGAATAAATTCCATTATCTTTTAATGATTTTTTCCATGAATTTTTTGAAGCACACTCATATTCAATAAGTGAGGTTTTCTTCTGTTATGTTAATACAATCATGCCACTGTAGGTGGGTTCTAAATCTAATCACATATAGGTTATGGAAAGACCAGAACAGACACAGAGATGGACATGGAGGATGACAGACACCATGTGAGCCTTGCCTACTGAGTTAGTTAATTGTGCCAGCCTGGTCAATAATCACATGTAGGGCTAATTGAAAGGCAGAGGGATAAATGGGGTGGTGAGCCTCGCCTTTCTAGCTCTAGGGTCTCTTGCTTTGTGATGGTCGCACCAGTGTGCAGCTGCCTTAGCAGTTCCCTGCTTCTGCTTGCAAGATTGACTTCCTACAAGACATCCCCAAGGAGAAGCTACATGGACCTATCCCGATGCAGCCCTGGGTGCTGGA